ATGTCGATACATATGGCTCTAAACTAGAACTTTTGCACTTGAATTATTCTATCTAAAAGAGGTTTTTTAGTAGCGATGCCAACTTCCACTCTGATGAATCTGTCTCCTGTCCACTATGTACCATGTGTTGGTATTTTTCAGTTCCTTGTCTACTAATCAGTTCCGTTCATCTCGGTAGAAATGATGATTTCCCAATTGTTGATTTGCCATGTTGTGAAATAAGTTTTTCTTTTTGTTGATCATTGAGGCCCCTACAGTTAAGTGTGACTATAGTCCAGTAAGGGAGGTTGGAGTTGCTGTTTTTTGTATTATGTTATATTTCTAAAGTACAATATTCTTGCTGTTTTTGTTCTGTGTTGTGGAGTTTGTTCATACTTGTTAACTTGTATAAGTTCAGTTGGCTATTGTATATCACTTGTTTGTATATTGTTGTGATGCAGTATATATGATTATTCTGAGGTGTGAATGAGTCAGAAGTGTTCTTTGATTTTTTGTCATAATTGTTTGTATCTTGTTGTAGATGCAATGGTTGATGAGTGGATTTTTTTGATATGGAAGTGTTGTTTATTGTATTACCCATGTTTAATATTTTATAGAAGGAGAAAAGTAGTTTGTACCTATTGGGATCATGTTGGTGATTGTGAAAATGAGGACATTTATTGTTTTGTCCATATTACTAATAGATGTGTGTAGCTGTTGTTGTTGTTGTTATATATCATTCAAGTCTAATGTATATTGAATAGTGGATTCACTATTATCACAGTTTTGTTCTTGATCTTCTTTCATCTCTTCTATGTTGTTATAACAGTATTGCTCTAGACTATCAATTCTTTCATCAAGATCAGACAATACTTTTTTGATAGTTTTGAGTTCGCATTGAATTTCGGCCAGTATGTTTGTTATACCTTGATTTTCATCATGTTGGGTATTTAACAGTTGATGTTGGAAGGTTCTGTTTTTTACTGCAGATGCATATGATCCTGAGATGGCTGTAGTCTTTCTTGATAGTGGATTAACTAATTTGTGGATAGGTATTGAATTTGCTGGTCTGAAGCATTGTTACAATTTCCCGAATTTGTTTGCTTATTCACAATTGAAGTCTTTTCACTGTTTTCTTCTCTCTTTGATAGTACAATTTTCCACTAAGTGTTGTGGACTGTCACAAATGGTGCAGAGCTTGGTGTCTATCAGTTTGTATTCGAGAACTGCTTCTTCTAGTGTGAAAGTTTTGGTTAGTGCTTGCTGGAGTACGTTTTCATTACTGAAACTGAGAACTGCGTATTTCCTGAGTTTGTATAATAAGAGATAGGGGATGTAACAGGTTTTGGCCCCTATTTATTGACTGATGAGTTTGAGATCAAAAGCGTTTGTGTTGGGTGAGAGGTTTGTGAGTTTGAGGGAATGATTGTCCTGGTTTTTTATTTGTTTGAGGTCTCACTCTACATCAAAGATTCTTACTGAATGTGCTTTGATTAATGTGCTCCATTGATCTAGAAGTTTGAGTTTGTCTTCTCTATTGGTGAATGTGATTGTCGTGAATTGCCATATGTTTCTGATTGTCATTTTTATGTTGTTGATCTACCTGAATTTGGTAAAGGTTTGTTGTACATCTATGAGTCTTGTGTTTAGGGGGATGTCTCAAACTCTTATACTGTATTACTTATCAAGCCTGTGTATGGTTTTTTCATGTATGATAAGTGCAGGATGTTTGTGTTTGGAAAGATAAGGTTTCTTGCATCATCTGCTGCTTGTTGATCTCTGAATATGGTAATAATGTAGTATTTATTTTCGCAGCATTTGTTTTAGATTAAGAGAAGACCTTCTGGAAAGTTCAGGGCTTTCATAATGTGAAGTATCTTTTTGTAAGTTGTTTTGTCAGGGATTAATGAAGCTTTCACTCCAAGCTTGATTCTTTACCATCCAAATTTGAGCTTGGAGTCGAAGGGTGACCTGAGTTGTGATCTCGAACTGGACATATATGTTGAGGATCTTCTGTTTTTTCTCTTGCTGTTACTAGCAATCTGCCACTTATCTTCTGTTTCAGAGAGTTCCTCATTGAGATCCATGTCAATATCAGAATTATCTAACCTTGCTGTGTGATATGCCAGGAGTTCTGTATTGGTATTTGCCTGTTCTGTAACTATTAATATTTGGAGTTGGTTTCATTCGACTTGCTTACTCCATAAGCTGGAGTTGATATTGTTGTTTTCACTGCTGCTTGTTGCTATCACGGTGCTGTTTGGATGATTCTGTTCAGGGATAGGGACATTTTTGAAGGGAGAGAATTGTTCTTTGTTTTTATTTTCGCTTTGGGTTGTTGTTATGTGTTTCTTTTTAGGTATTTGTTCCTTTTTCCTTTCGATAAGGGTGACCTTATTCTTGGATATCTTATCAATATTGTAGTTTGGCCTACTGGTAACATATTGTTATCTCTTGGGTTCTTCCTGTCTTGTTTCTCTTTATCATTTTGTTGTCTGGGTTTGCTGTGCCATAGGTGAATGGGAAAGAGTGAGCTTTATATAATTATTTTTTGAGTAAATATAATTATTTTAATTTTTTTAAAAAAATTAAATTTATAGAAATTGTCAAATTCTAAAAATGAAGACTAATATATCTATACTATTTTTTTTTATCGAGTGATCAGATTAAAACAATTTTTTTTTTAAATAATAGCTTATAATATAAGCTTTAAAACAAATACTTTATATTAAATATAATTATATATTAATAGAGATATATATGTTTTAATTATTTAAAAAAAATTAAACTTGCGAAAATATATAAATTTTAAAAATAAAGTCTCATATATTTATACTATTTTTTCATTATTGAGTAATTAGATTTAAGCAATTTTTTTTTTAAATAATAGCTAATGATATAAGCTTTAAAATAAATATTTCTATATTAAATATAATTATATATTAATGAATATATAAGTATTTTAATTTTTTTTTAAAAAATTAAACCTGCAAAAATAGTCAAATTCTAAAATAGAATCTAATTTATTTATATTATTTTCTTATTTTCTAGTAATTAGATTTAAACAATTTTTTTTAAAATGATAATGTATGATATAAACTTTAAAATAAATATTTTTTTATTAAATTTAATTATGTATTGATAGAGTTATAAGTATTTTAAATTAGAATAAAAAAATTAATCTAACTTATTTTAAATAAAAAGGTTGGCAGAAAATTTTTAAATAATATTTTTATTATCTTTAAAAATAACCAATTATTTATAAATAAATTAATATAAATATTGAATTAAACTTATTTTTTTTTAGGTCTGCTACTAGATTAGTTATATATACTTTATTAGACATAATATATATTATCTATTTACAATGTTACTAAAGCTAAAATGCTAATTAACTTACTCATTTTAGTTTATTGGCAAACTCTAAGTATAACTTTAAAAGTGATATGTTACTCTGTTGTAGTTTGGGCTAACAACTTTCTACTATGAACATTACTGTTTTACAGTTTACTATTGCAATTATTAAAGTATATATATATATACAAAATCTATTAAATATACTGTGTATGTATAATTTTTTTTAATTTTTTTAAAATATTTTTAGTTATAAATAAATTGGTTTTTTATTAATTATTTTTTATTTTTATTGGTTTTATTTTTTAAATAAAAAAAAATTTTTTGATTGTACATAAAATTTTTTATTTTTATTAAAACCTTTTTAATAATTAAATCTATAATAAAATAAGATATAGTTATAAGTAATATTATTTTTATTATATTATGCATTTAGTTTTAAATTTATTTTTATTACATATAGTTGCATTAAAATTTTTTTACTTAATTTTTAATATTTGTTTAAATACAATTTTTATGTAATTTATTTATAACCTTTTGAAAATTCTAGTTGAATCTTGATTAGTAACTATATATAAATGCATCAGCTATTAATTCAATAGGTAAGGTTATTACAAACTTTAAAATTGTATCCTGAAAAATTTGATTATGATTTAATCTATATAGCATTAACCACCGCACTATTTATACAGTCTTTTATTTTAAATTTAATAATTATTTGGCCATTATTATTTAATGCTCATTTAATTTTTATTTATTTTTCAAAAAAATTTTAATAAAAAATCATTATTATATGATAATTACAGTATTAGAATGTATTTTATTTGCTATCAAAGGTATAATTATTACTTTATTTAAAAAATTATTTTTTAAAAAATTTTTGAATTATTAAATCAATTAGCGAATTTAACGAATTTTTATTTACAATCAATAGTTAAATTTAGTAATTAGAAATTTTAAAATAATGATGAAATTAAAAAATAAATGTAATAAATTGTAGTTTCCACGTTATATGGAGCTGATTCGATTCAAGTTGCATCTGGAGTTATTGTTGAAAATTACAATTACGTAGGTTGAAAAATTGGATTAATATCGAAAGAATTTAAGTGGTGATAAATAAAAGTAATAAGACAAGCATTTGTTAGCATAATAAGAATTTTTTTGGTATCACAATAGACAAACAATCAAATAGAAAAGAGAAATCACACATTCAAACCCATCGGTATATTAGATCGTTTCTATTATCATTTGATTTTCTGCTGTATTTGGATAAATATGAATCTATGTATAATCATCGTCGCAGGAAACGTTCAATTTGAAAAATAAAAAATTTTGTCTTCATTTTTCACTGAAAAAGACCAAATAAAAGGTGTTTCTATATTTGATATACATAAAAGAGATCTTGGAAATATAGAAGGCGCGTAAACAAACCTTTTTTTTTTTTTTGTAATACTTCATGAAAAAAAAATTATTACTTCATGTAAAAAAATTCTAACTGAACTGCGAATACTTATTTTTAGGCCAAGAACTGCGTGAATACCTGATAGCGCAAATTTTGGTTTCGGAATTTGATAATTTTATGGTTGAATGTTATACAATAAATGCATATGAAATAATTTTTCTTTCTATTCTTTCATTATTTGCCATATTTGTGACTTCAGATACCGATGAGATGCATCTCTTTGATAACGCAGAGATTAAGTACGGAATAATGAACAGATAATGTAAGAATGATAAGACAACAACGAATGCTGTGTTTTCGTTTAAAAATAAAAAGTTGCATAAATGTATTACTTGAAGATACACAAGTTTGGTAATTATGTAACTACGTATGCGACAAAACAAATATGATACTAACACAATAATTTTCTTCTAGAAATCTAAACTCAATCGTTTATATAATCATAAAATAAAGAATAAGAATAAGTGAATATATAAGGATGAAAAGTTCTCTTCACTGATAACATCCTTTTTATCTTATTAAAGGGGACCCAAATCAACATTGGCTTCGAGAATTGTTTGAACGCAGTTTTTAATCGTTTTCGCGTCCAATAATTTGCACATTAAATTTTTTATCATTAACATGCAAAACTCCACTTCCTTGGGAAACTGGTTAGACACACTACAAGAACCCGCACCTTCGTATGTGGTTGCCTGTTTAGCAGCCATAGCAACATTGGGTGCGACACCGTATAAGGGCTTGAAAAACAAATTGCCGTGGATGTTTAGATGCTTGGGATGTCCTTTTCTGGGCCTGTTTTACTATTGTAATGTGGGAACCCGAAGTTATAAATTTCAGGGTGAGGTCATTGAAATTGAGATGAGCGCGTACTGGTTGGATAGTAATAGATTTTACGAAGACGAAGACGAGAAAATGGAAAATGAAACAAGACGTCGATGTGAATACAGACCATTTGGATATTATGCTATGAAATTATGCCCTAACAATGAACAAAGAATACTGTTAAGAGAGTGCATCTCTGATGCACCTATCCTTGATAGGTTTGCCTCAGTATTATCAGTGTATCATATAATTGTGGGAATAGTTTCGGGCATCTATCTGCTTTATGGATGCCTCATTAATGACTGGCCTCACATTCCTATTGCATTGTCATGGGTACTGCCAGCCGTCTGCGTGAGAATAATTGGCGGAAAGGTAGTGTCCGTAGATCCAAATTATATATTATTTGACAAGACTGAACTAGAATTAGTATCCATCGATCCAGTAGAAGAAGGGGCAGTATCCATCGATTCGGATTTAATTCCTAAATTCAGTCCGGTTATAAAAGTGAAACCTCTTGAACTTTCAGAAAGGAGTTGGATTAGATTTTTCGTTTTTATTACTGCAATAGCTGCTACAACATGCCCCTGGGCATCAGTGATAATAGCCTATTTATCCCCACCAAGGGGATTTTTTTGTAGGTCTAAATACATATCCGTTATTTGCTCTATATGGACGCTCAACAATTTAATTGCATTCTACTCGCATGTTAAGGGAGAAAAAACCGTGAAGGGAAAAATAATGTTTCACTATTTTTTTTGCATTTCTGGATTTATAGTGTTGCTTTTGATAATTTGCTTTGGCATCTTAAGCAGTAATTTATCGTGGTGGATGTATATTTTCGGAGGTTCTTGTGAAATTTCAAACTCATGTCATTAATTATGCATGCGACGTTATTTAAATCATCCAAGTTCGACAATAAAAAACTATTAATATTATGTCTACATAGGTTAACTGTTTAAATTAACTCTTTTAACTCTTTTTCCGCTGATTTACACAATGAAAGATGTTTGCTATGTGATTTTAATAACACAATAGGCGTGAAAAGACAAAATAAAAATAAAAATAAAGTGGCGAATAAAAAAAATTCGTAGAGAAAAATCGAATGATGCCAAAATTGTTGTTAAGCATGCTTTTAGGGTGCAAATAATTCGAAATTTTTTTTTGGTAACTCATTGAGGTTGAATTTTTACTCTTTCTGTACGTATTTGGGTTCAACACCATAAAATACGTCACGTGTAACGGCATCACGAGTTATGTAATTATAAAAAAAGGTGTAAAATTCGGTGTGCACGGGCATTGTCGTTGTGGCAGCGACAAAATGGTGATGTTAAATATGCAGTGCTTCAGAACTTAGCATATTTACGGTATTAATTCTTGACACTTTTGGAAATAATGTATATTTTTCGTACTATTTATTTCTTATTTATTAACGCTGATCCAGACATACTTTATTAAAAAAAATCACATATAGTATGACTACTTGTGCTTACAAAAGTTCGATGAGTTAACCTACCTCGTGGCTTGTTGCCACCCTTTACAAAGATACTGTAACTAGCCTGCTAAGGTTGGGCTATCACCAATATTAAATTTTCAGTAAATAATAAGATGTATGCTTTTTTTAATATACAGTATGTGTTGATAATACCGATAAATTGATTTTTGATGAAACCCTCTCTTTCTTCGAATCAAACACTTTGGGCGTGTGACTTTACCCATATGCTTTTTTTTACGTATTACTTATCATTTTTCCATTGTTGAAATTTTTCGCATCTGATTTTCCATATTTGGTAGAGATATTGTGGTTATTCTAGTTTTGATTTTTTCAGGCATTTTTTCCTGGATGCCTTGCAGTGATGAGTTTTTTGAATTTAAATATTGTTTTTTTTTTTTCAGAGATTCCACTCTGAGCATGCATTCTAGATATCTAGTATAGTGCAATTAGGTATTTATTTTGAGCTGATCCAACTACAGTATTTATTGAACTTTCTGTTGTGTTTTATTCTCTAGCTATTCGCGCCATTGTTTCTATAAAAAAGTTATCGTTTGTCTTCGTAATTGGAAAAGAAAAAATTATATGTTTGTTTCTTTCTAATTGCAAATGATGCACTTTTTTTTTGTAATGTTCTGTAACTCTGTGATATAACTTTGCCTTAATGAAAAGTTCTTTATCCTGTAGTCATTACATAAATTTCATTTTTTATTTGTCTTGCTAGTCAATATTATATTAATGTGCAATAAATGTTCTATAGTTGATAATTTTTTAAACCATCTATCAGGTTATATATGTGTACTTTATTAAATATAATGTAAACTATACTAGTTACAGTGTTACTAAAGCCAAATCAATAACTAACTCATTCGTCTTATTTTGTTATCAAACTCTAAATGCAACTTTGGAGCGGCTTGTCATTCTATTTATAGTTTGGGTTAACCCCTTTTATTATAAACATCATTACCTGCAATCCACTACTGCAAATAATAGGCTCAAGTTCTAATTTAGCTTAAAACCCAACCATTTCTAATTCCTAGTATTATTATTTTAGTAAGACCTTTATCTGGGAATTATTCTTCTGTTATTTTTCTTTTATTTTTTATACATGTAAATCTTTTTATTAAGTGAAACTTCACAGGTCTCTTGGCTTTATCTTTTTAAGAAATTTCTTGAGCTCTTTCTCAGTTATTATTTGTTTGTATATTCTGTTCTATTCCATACTTTTTTTAAATTGATTTGGAATCTTTTTTTGCATCAAAGCGTTTATTTTTTGACTGTAAATTTAATTTCTTTTCTAAAATAGTATATTTAAACAATATTATTATTTTCTTCAAGATTTTTTAAAGCTATTATAACATATATTTATTATTATAGATACTTTAAAACAAGCAAATCTAATGCTAGACTCAGAAAATAGTATATTTTCTTTTTATAATTAAACTCTTGATTATATTATTAATAAAAAAGGAATTTAACTAAATAATGAAAAAATAAATAAAATTAAAATTATTTCAAATTAATTATTTTTTTTATAACTTGCTCAGTCTTGTTTATTAGTTTAATAATGTAATGTGCAATTATAAATTGTAAATATTACAAGGAATATTTTATATACTATTAAACTTTCTAAAACTGATTACATAATTTAAATAATTCACCAAATAGCTTGTTATTACTTTAAACTATAAAAGAACTAACCTAATAAAGTAAAACTAATACTAGATTCAAAGAGAAATAGATATAATATTTGTGTTTTCTATTATAAATTGTTTTAAATATTATTTAATAAAATCTATATAACGTCTTTTATAGTTTATTCATTTATTTATATAGTCAAACTTGAAATGATTTTTTATACTTGTAAGAATTTTTTTTCTAGTAATTTTTGTAACTATTTTCACTTTTGAAATACTTTACTTCTAATTATGATAAATATTTTTTTCAATTATTTTATATTTTAGCTATATAAGCTTTTACTTTGATAGTTTTTTAAATTATATAATAAATTGTTTTAACAAGAATTTTAAAAAATATATATTTAATGAATAGTTTAAAATCTTGAGTAATATTTAGAGCTAAATTATTGATTATGATTTTTTATACTTTAGTTTTTTTCTTTTTGAATATATATATGAAAACTGTCTCTTGAATTATAACTAAAACTTGCTGTTTAGTATTTTTTTTATTATTAAAATATAAAAAAGAGTATTAATTGTCTTCCACTTAATTGTATAATCAGTACTTATTGTATTTATAAAGTATGAATATTCTATTATAAAGTTTTAATTTGATAGTATATTTATTGTTTCAAATGTTTAAAAGAAATGTTCACATTTATTGATATTTAAAAGATATATTTTAATTATAAATTTTAAAGATATAGATAACTATATATTTCTTTTCTATAAATATATTTAAATTTTTCAGTAAAATCTCAACTTCTCTTTTCTATTTGATTTTTTTTAAAAAAATAAAATTTTTACAAAAAGCAAACAATAAAATTAAGTTTTTATATATAAACCAATATAATTATAACCATTTTTTAAAGATTAATTCTTTTTATAATACTAATTTCAAATAGTCAAAATCAATTAGATAGTTATCATGAGTAAAAAGGCTTTTTACAAAATGAATTGAAAGGAAATTCTTTGTTTAATATAGTAACTTTTAAATTAACTGCCATTTATATTTAATTAGTAAACTTTGACTTTTCTAAAAAAATGAATAACTAAATAAATATTACAAAAAAATATATTTCAAGATAGAAAAAATCAGGTTTATTTATATTTAAATAATTTAAAATCAAATATATTTGCCTTCAAAAATATGCAAGTGTATAGTTTGTGTAAATTACTTTAATAGCTACTTAATATAAAATAATTACTTTATTAATATATATAAATTAATAGTTATAAAATTTCAAATTTCAAAAACTTCAAAAAAGAAACAAAAGATTATTTATTTTAATACTCTAAACAATATAATAAAATTATCAGTATCAATTTTGATATTAAAAATTTTAATACATACTTAGTTATTGATGCAATCAAATTTTTAAAACAAGATAAACTAAAAAATTATCTGTTATATCAAGTAGATTAATATTAGGTGGCTTATTTTTAATAATAAACTATATATAATTTTATTAATAACTTTTTTAATTTAATTATAAAGACTATATTACATATAAAATCTTATATATTAGTTAGTTAAATAACCTCTTTAGAGATTAATCAAATAAGAAAATTCTTAATAACAAATATATTTTAAATATAAGAGTATTTTAAAGATATTATAATTTAAACTCAAGTAGTTAAAAAATAAACTATATATCAGTTATATATTTATTAATATATATTTATTGAAATTTTACAATTTTAGTAATTAAAAAACCTTTGTAAAAAATTTAATAATACTATATTAAAATATCTAAAATTTTTAATATATATTAGAGTATACAATATTATAATAATTAAATTACTTTTAAAAATTGTTTAAAAAAATAAAAATAATGTACATATTTTTAAATGATTGTTATATATAGTAATTATGTATTAAAGATATTTTAAAAATAGTTAATCTGTAGGTCAATAGTGCAGTGGGTACACTTCCAGGTCACCACCCATGAGTTACTGATTAAATTCTACTTGAGAACAGTTTCTTACAATATATAAATTCTACTTGAGAACAGTTTCTTACAATATAGATTATATTGTACAAGATGTATGCTTATCCCAATATACATCTTTGTACTCATAAGAACCTAAAGATTTCCACTGTCTGACCATAGTATAAAAATAGATATTCAAGTCTTGATTGGTTTTAGTGCTAAGGAAAACCTTCGATCAACCTGCTGTCTAGAATATATAGAATCCAAAGACAAGTCAAGAAAGAATGCTAATCAACTCAAGCCTCTTAATAGATATAGAAAAGATATCAACCTCTTGTCAAAACTACATCCTATAGGAGATAAGAGAGACTTCGGTCATTTGTACTTAACAAAATATAATAGGCCATAACAGCAATTAATGGGAGATCTCTATAGTTATGAAACCAACGGCTACTAAAGAGAACAGCTATTGCAGAGACTGATGGTTAGCATTAAT